GGAAACGTGGTATGAAGACCTTATACCCGCCAGGACAGGTCACCTGACCACCAAGAAAGAAACAAGAGAAAAAAGGTAACTGTAGAAGGCCTATTGGCCCATACGAGGCGGCTCCTTTATATTTCCTAATAACTGAACAAAACAAAAACACTGGATAATATATATAAGCGCCGCTGGAAGAAAATTAATAAATAAAAACAGTTTAAATGGATGCTATATTGTATTTTTTTTTTTTTTTGAGATATATACAAGAGTTGTTACATTCTTGTACAGCCACTAGTACGCGTAGCGTTTCGGGCAGGTCCCTGGAATACGATCCCCTGCCGCGTAGAATCGTTTTTTCATCCAAGTACACATTTTACTGTTGCGTTAAACAGAGGCTACAGTTAAGGAATTGCGCCCAGTAAATCCTCCCCGGCCAGGATACGAACCCATGACATAGCGCTCGCGGAACGCCAGGCGAGTGTCTTACCACTACACCACGGAGACTGTATATAGGCTTACATGGGGATCTAATTTTTACATACCAGGGCTCACATTAAGGCTGTTGTTCCATTGATCAGAGCAGACTCAGTCACATTTCGTTCATCGAAACCCTTACTTTTAACAGTACATTTTGCCCTTCTGAAGTCGATAGAATGATCGCATAAACTGGAATGTAAATACAATACACTGGAGTGCTGGGCTGTTGACCTGACCACACACTAGGTGAAGGGACGACGACGTTTCGGTACCGTCCTGGACCATTCTCAAGTCAATTGTGAATGTACATTCAAAATATACATTGTGAGTCGTACTGGGCTGTACGAATAGCTATTCGTACAGCCCAGTACTGCTGTCCGTCGTGCACCAACTGGTTCCATCCGTCACGACCCAACATGAAACCCCTCAACCATCATTGCAACCCTCCCCCCCCCCCCACCCTACACCCGGGCTCAGGCCCTCAAACCCAACCCCAGGTGACCCAGGGCCCATCAGCCCGGGCCCCCAGCATCAGGAAATAGGGCAGGTCGGAACATCAGAGTAAAAATGAACTATAGTGTGTCATGAAACATTTTTAATAAAGCGGTGGCAGCCAATAAACCTGTGTGAGGTTGAGGGAGATTGGGGGGAGAGCCTTTGTTGGTCTGCCTCATGATGAAGTTGTGGTGGAGGGTGGTGTGGTGGAGAGTGGTGTGGTGGAGGGTGGTGTGGTGGAGGGTGGTGTGGTGGAGGGTGGTGTGGTGGAGAGTGGTGTGGTGGAGGGTGGTGTGGTGGAGGGTGGTGTGGTGGAGGGTGGTGTGGTGGAGAGTGGTGTGGTGGAGAGTGGTGTGGTGGAGGGTGGTGTGGTGGAGGGTGGTGTGGTGGAGGGTGGTGTGGTGGAGAGTGGTGTGGTGGAGGGTGGTGTGGTGGAGGGTGGTGTGGTGGAGGGTGGTGTGGTGGAGGGTGGTGTGGTGGAGGGTGGTGTGGTGGAGGGTGGTGTGGTGGAGGGTGGTGTGGTGGAGGGTGGTGTGGTGGAGGGTGGTGTGGTGGAGGGTGGTGTGGTGGAGAGTGGTGTGGTGGAGGGTGGTGTGGTGGAGAGTGGTGTGGTGGAGGGTGGTGTGGTGGAGGGTGGTGTGGTGGAGGGTGGTGTGGTGGAGGGTGGTGTGGTGGAGGGTGGGTGTGGTGGAGTGGTGGTGTGGTGGAGGGTGGTGTGGTGGAGGGTGGTGTGGTGGAGGGTGAAGTGGTGGAGGGTGGTGTGGTGGAGGGTGGTGTGGTGGAGAGTGGTGTGGTGGAGGGTGGTGTGGTGGAGAGTGGTGTGGTGGAGAGTGGTGTGGTGGGGAGTGGTGTGGTGGAGGGTGGTGTAGTGGAGGGTGGTGTGGTGGAGAATGGTGTGGTGGAGGGTGGTGTGGTGGAGGGTGATGTGGTGGAGGGTGGTGTGGTGGAGAGTGGTGTGGTGGAGGGTGGTGTGGTGGAGTGTGGTGTGGTGGAGGGTGGTGTGGTGGAGAGTGGTGTGGTGGAGGGTGGTGTGGTGGAGAGTGGTGTGGTGGAGGGTGGTGTGGTGGAGGGTGGTGTGGTGGAGAGTGGTGTGGTGGAGAGTGGTGTGGTGGAGAGTGGTGTGGTGGAGAGTGGTGTGGTGGAGGGTGGTGTGGTGGAGAGTGGTGTGGTGGAGAGTGGTGTGGTGGATGGTGGTGTAGTGGAGGGTGGTGTGGTGGAGAGTGGTGTGGTGGAGGGTGGTGTGGTGGAGAGTGGTGTGGTGGAGAGTGGTGTGGTGGAGAGTGGTGTGGTGGAGGGTGGTGTGGTGGAGAGTGGTGTGGTGGAGGGTGGTGTGGTGGAGGGTGGTGTGGTGGAGGGTGGTGTGGTGGAGGGTGGTGTGGTGGAGGGTGGTGTGGTGGAGGGTGGTGTAGTGGAGACTGGTGTGGTGGAGGGTGGTGTGGTGGAGGGTGGTGTGGTGGAGAGTGGTGTGGTGGAGAGTGGTGTGGTGGAGGGTGGTGTGGTGGAGAGTGGTGTGGTGGAGGGTGGTGTGGTGGATGGTGGTGTGGTGGAGGGTGGTGTGGTGGAGGGTGGTGTGGTGGAGGGTGGTGTGGTGGAGGGTGGTGTGGTGGAGGGTGGTGTGGTGGAAAGTGGTGTGGTGGAGAGTGGTGTGGTGGAGAGTGGTGTGGTGGGGAGTGGTGTGGTGGAGGGTGGTGTGGTGGAGGGAGGTGTTGTGGAGGGTGGTGTGGTGGAGAGTGGTGAGGTGGAGAGTGGTGTGATGGGGAGTGGTGTGGTGGGGAGTGGTGTAGTGGAGGGTGGTGTGGTGGTGGGTGGTGTGGTGGACGGTGGTGTGGTGGAGAGTGGTGTGGTGGAGGGTGGTGTGGTGGAGGGTGGTGTGGTGGAGGGAGGTGTGGTGGAGGGAGGTGTTGTGGAGGGTGGTGTGGTGGAGAGTGGTGTGGTGGAGAGTGGTGTGATGGGGAGTGGTGTGGTGGAGGGTGGTGTGGTGGAGGGTGGTGTGGTGGAGTGTCATGTGGTGGAGAGTGGTGTGGTGGAGGGTGGTGGTGGTGGAGAGTGGTGTGGTGGAGGGTGGTGTGGTGGAGGGTGGTGTGGTGGACGGTGGTGTGGTGGAGAGTGGTGAGGTGGAGGGTGGTGTGGTGGAGGGTGGTGTGGTGGAGAGTGGTGTGGTGGAGAGTGGTGTGGTGGAGGGTGGTGTGGTGGAGTGTCATGTGGTGGAGGGTGATGTGGTGGAGAATAGTGTGGTGGAGAATAGTGTGGTGGAGAATAGTGTGGTGGAGATAGTCCCATACCGAATTGCGTGCTTCTTCCTCATAATCACCATCCTCTCTTGAGAAACAATATCAAATACTTCATGACAATCTAGAAAAAAATACAGTTTACCCAGCCTTCTTCGTCTGATCTTACTGTAGTAACCCTGCGCCATCGAGCGAGGGTGGTGTTGTACCGGTGTTGTGTGGTACCGGTGTTGTGTGGTACCGGTGTTGTGTGGTACCGGTGTTGTGTGGTATATTGTGTTGTTTCCGCGTGCGGGCGTTATTTGTGTTGCGTTCCCCACAGTGTGGTAACATTTGTGTTGTGTTGGCAGCTCAGATGGACCTGTGTTGACACTACCCATGACGCCGCCAACCAACTCAATAACCTATATGATCAATTTTGAAACTCAGCACAGAGTGGCGACGAACATTAAACGTCTGCCTTTTCTGTCTGTCTACTGGTGAACGAATTGGTGATGTAGTGAGTATGTTATTGATTTTGTGAGTGACTGAGTGTGTTATTGTTAGAGTGGGTAATTAATTGAGTGCGTTATAAAGTGAGTGTGTTATTGTTAGAGTGGGTAATTAATTGAGTGCGTTATTTAGTATGTTTGCAGATAACCTCCTCCCAACTTTCACTAGCAAACAGTATTATTTTCCATCAAACTCCTCAACATTTTTATTAACAGTATGTGAAGCCACCTGTTTGTCCCTACAGACTGTTTGTTTACCCGTTGTCTGAGAAAATGTTGTTACTGACAACAGTAAACATATCAACGGCTGCATGTACGTAATAAGTTATCTAGTTTACGTGACATCGGTTTTGTTAATAGTCGATCAGCCCCACCTGTCTGTCTGTATCTATCAGCCCCACCTGTCTGTCTGTATCTATCAGTCGATCAGCCCCACCTGTCTGTCTGTATCTATCAGTCGATCAGCCCCACCTGTCTGTCTGTATCTATTAGTCGATCAGCCCCACCTGTCTGTCTGTATCTATCAGTCGATCAGCCCCACCTGTCTGTCTGTATCTATCAGTCGATCAGCCCCACCTGTCTGTCTGTCTGTATCTATCAATCACACCTCTCTGTACCTGTTAGTCTATCATTTTCACCTGTCTGTATTTACCGACTGAAGGACAGGATCGGATCCCATAACCTAGATAGTTACCACCATGTCATACCATCCTGGTATTGGATCATTAAGCACTCACAAGCATCATCGGTATGCCGAAATATACTGATTTCACAAACAAAATTTAGGTTAATGGCCTAACCTAATGGGCGGTTCATCTATTCTCTTCTAAAGACACTGCATCGATGTGTGCGTTAGTTTGTGTATACATGTGAAACTCCTTACCTGTGTGTGTGTGTGTGTGTGTGTGTGCGGAGCAGAGTTTTCAGCTCCTGGTCCTCGCCTCTCTGACTTCCGGTCTCCTCTTCATTCTTCGCCATAAATGTAGATGAGTGACATTAAATATTAAGAATTCATTACATTTCATCATTGTTTATGTTTTATAACATTTGTGTGTGCGTGCACTTTGTGCGTGTGTGTGTGTGTGTGTGTGTGTGTGTGTGTGTGTGTGTGTGTGTGTGTGTGTGTGTGTGTGTGTGTGTGTGCGCTCGCTGTGTGTTTGCGCGTGTGTGTGCGTGTCTCCGAGGAACAGGCCAAAGAAACGCACCGAGAGAGGTGGCAATATTAAACACGCCTCACTAATGCTCAATAGCATAGACCAGTGCCCGTGGCGGGGTCCACGCGGGAGACGACTGATATTAAATAATAGACAAGGTGAGGGGCGCCATGACATTACTGGTGGGTTCACACGCTCCTATATTGAAGAACCGCCCTCCAGGCAGCACAGGAGAGGGTTCACACGCTCCTATATTGAAGAACCGCCCTCCAGGCAGCACAGGAGAGGGTTCACACGCTCCTATATTGAAGAACCGCCCTCCAGGCAGCACAGGAGAGGGTTCACAAGCTCCTATATTGAAGAACCGTCCTCCAGGCAGCACAGGAGAGGGTTCACAAGCTCCTATATTGAAGAACCGTCCTCCAGGCAGCACAGGAGTGGGTTCACAAGCTCCTATATTGAAGAACCGCACTCCAGGCAGCACAGGAGAGGGTTCACACGCTCCTATATTGAAGAACCGCCCTCCAGGCAGCACAGGAGAGGGTTCACACGCTCCTATATTGAAGAACCGCCCTCCAGGCAGCACAGGAGTGGGTTCACAAGCTCCTATATTGAAGAACCGCACTCCAGGCAGCACAGGAGAGGGTTCACACGCTCCTATATTGAAGAACCGCCCTCCAGGCAGCACAGGAGAGGGTTCACACGCTCCTATACTAAAGAACCGCCCTCCAGGCACCACAGGAGTGGGTTCACAAGCTCCTATATTGAAGAACCGCCCTCCAGGCACCACAGAACTGATCCGCTACCCACTCTTTCCACCGGCCCCTTCTACAAAATGATAATAATAATAATAATAATAATAATAATAATAATAATAATAATAATAATAATAATAATAATAATAATAATAATAATGCAATTAAAAACATATTAAATTTGATTTGCAATACAATTTTGATATTTTATTTAAAACCACAGATCATGAGTATTAAGTCTCCTTACCTTGAGGTTACCTTGAGGTGCTTCCGGGGCTTAGCGTCCCCGCGGCCCGGTCGTCGACCAGGCCCCCGGGAGTCTTGTTCGTGTGTTGGAGAATCTTTTGAGGGAGAGAGTAAAGAAAGGGAGAGGGGTAGAGAGAGAGCAGAAAGAAGAGCCATATACAAAGGGGGTGAATTTTTGTGAGAGGAGAGGTGGGTGGGGGGGGGGGGTTAGTTAGAAGTGGGGTAGAGACGGAAGGGGGGATTGTGGAAGGGGTGGAGAGGAAGAGATGGTGGTATGAGGAATTTGTAATTAGCCACAACACACTGATGGCCAAAGGAGGACACAGCATAGTAGCATTAATAATAACCAGTTTGTCACTGTCCTCTCAAATACACACACACAAACATACACACACACAAACATACACGCGGACATACACGCCAAGGATAGGAATCTCCGTCCCAGACCCCCATATAATTACTCAGACAATTACTTCTAAACCAATAAAAACTTTGAACGAATTTGTAAAATGTTTCAAACAGACAGGTGTCGTCCCATGAAATTTATGCCTCGTGAGTTTTAGAACATACAAATATGAACGTTCGCAAGGTCATCTGCTGCCCTTTAATCCTTTCCTCTAACAAGTAATTATATTTACAGTTTCATATTTTTGCAATAAAGCAATGTTGCGAGATCACTCTGTGCGGTACAGAGCTGAGGTTTCAACTTCAGATTGAGTACAGTTCATTTATCACTTTTTCCACTTTGTCTTATTATATTTATCATTAATCCGTTTCAGTCAGGTGTATGGGATGAGTCAGGTGTATGGGATGAGTCAGGTGTATGGGATGAGTCAGGTGTATGGGATGAGTCAGGTGTATGGGATGAGTCAGGTGTATGGGATGAGTCTGGTGTATGGGATGAGTCAGGTGTATGGGATGAGTCAGGTGTATGGGATGAGTCAGGTGTATGGGATGAGTCAGGTGTATGGGATGAGTCAGGTGTATGGGATGAGTCAGGTGTATGGGATCAGTCATGTGTATGGGATGAGTCAGGTGTATGGGATGAGTCAGGTGTATGGGATGAGTCAGGTGTATGGGATCAGTCAGGTGTATGACTTCATTCATAGCCGCAACGTTGTCTGAATGTTTCGAGCCTATGTCTGTATTTGTCTCTGTATTTCTGTATTTGCCTGTCTGTATGTCTATTGTCTGCCTCTATGTTTATTGTCTGTTTGCATGTCTGTCTTATTGTCTGCCTATCTGTACTCACCTAGATGTGCTTTCAGGGTGGAACATCAATCATACCTCCAGCCTGCTGAGTGTTCACTGTTTACTACTGTGAACTACGGGCTCACCATAGCCCGTGCTACCTGGAACTTTCTGTTCCGGGTAGCGAATCTTAAACAACATGTTCACTGCCGTAATTTAGCACTCACGGTTACCATACTTACGTTTTATATTGAGTATTTGTTTAGCTTGAACTTCCTGGTATGACGTAGCCCACTAATACACGGATCTAGCGTATCTGTGTGTCTTATGAACCACACACCAGAAGATGAGGAGACGAAGAATCTTAGTCATTTATTTAATTTCAGAACTTATTCTGAAGTTCGTAGCTTTTGACCAATACTTCTTTGTCGACTAATGCCCTTGTAATCTTGTGTGATTCTTCATATTTCACCTCTAGTGTAGTGAGGGCAACTGCCCTCAAGTCTATCCTCGTAGCTCAAGTCTATCCTCGTAGCTCCAGTCTATCCTCGTAGCTCAAGTCTATCCTCGTAGCTCCAGTCTATCCTCGTAGCTCATACTCTGAATTCTGACCATTGGATCGTTTCTGCAGGAGAGATTCTAGTTGGGTCTCACGTCGGATGTGTATTGACCCGTTCTCCTAATAGCACGTCGTATTTTTGACGTATACTGAACCTAAGGCTAAAAAACTCTCGTAAAAGAAAATGGTAGCGGCTGATGAAATTGACATAATGTCCCGTTTTCTGCTCGTGGGTCCTCTGGTAGGTTTGGATAGGGCACCTTAGCACGACAGTTTCTTGATGTTGGGAACGCTAGCGAGAACGGAAGGGGGGGGCGTGTATATATAGAGCAGTGTGGCGTCTTCTTCACACTTGTCTGTCACTTCACTCTTCAACTTTAGATCACTATGAAGAGAATTTTTAATTATTTATTACCTAGGGCCGGCCATCAAGCAGAACCAGCCGGCCAACACCAAGCAGAACCAGCCGGCCAACACCAAGCAGGACCAGCCGGCCAACACCAAGCAGGACCAGCCGGCCAACACCAAGCAGGACCAGCCGGCCAACACCAGAAGGACCAGCCGGCCAACATCAAGCAGAACCAGCCGGCCAACACCAAGAAGGACCAGCCGGCCAACACCAAGCAGAACCAGCCGGCCAACACCAAGCAGGACCAGCCGGCCAACATCAAGCAGAACCAGCCGGCCAACACCAAGCAGAACCAGCCGGCCAACATCAAGAAGAACCAGCCGGCCAACATCAAGCAGGACCAGCCGGCCAACATCAAGCAGAACCAGCCGGCCAACACCAAGCAGGACCAGCCGGCCAACACCAAGCAGAACCAGCCGGCCAACACCAAGCAGGACCAGCCGGCCAACACCAAGCAGGACCAGCCGGCCAACATCAAGCAGGACCAGCCGGCCAACACCAAGCAGAACCAGCCGGCCAACACCAAGCAGGACCAGCCGGCCAACACCAAGCAGAACCAGCCGGCCAACACCAAGCAGGACCAGCCGGCCAACACCAAGCAGGACCAGCCGGCCAACACCAAGCAGGACCAGCCGGCCAACATCAAGCAGAACCAGCCGGCCAACATCAAGCAGGACCAGCCGGCCAACATCAAGCAGGACCAGCCGGCCAACATCATGAAGAACCAGCCGGCCAACACCAAGCAGGACCAGCCGGCCAACATCAAGCAGGACCAGCCGGCCAACATCAAGCAGGACCAGCCGGCCAACATCAAGCAGGACCAGCCGGCCAACATCATGAAGAACCAGCCGGCCAACACCAAGCAGGACCAGCCGGCCAACATCAAGCAGGACCAGCCGGCCAACATCATGAAGAACCAGCCGGCCAACACCAAGAAGAACCAGCCGGCCAACACCAAGCAGAACCAGCCGGCCAACACCAAGCAGAACCAGCCGGCCAACACCAAGCAGAACCAGCCGGCCAACACCATGAAGAACCAGCCGGCCAACACCAAGCAGAACCAGCCGGCCAACACCAAGCAGAACCAGCCGGCCAACACCATGAAGAACCAGCCGGCCAACACCAAGCAGAACCAGCCGGCCAACATCAAGCAGGACCAGCCGGCCAACATCAAGCAGGACCACCGGCCAACATCATGAAGAACCAGCCGGCCAACACCAAGCAGGACCAGCCGGCCAACATCAAGCAGGACCAGCCGGCCAACATCATGCAGAACCAGCCGGCCAACATCATGAAGAACCAGCCGGCCAACACCAAGCAGAACCAGCCGGCCAACATCAAGCAGAACCAGCCGGCCAACACCAAGCAGAACCAGCCGGCCAACACCAAGCAGAACCAGCCGGCCAACATCAAGCAGAACCAGCCGGCCAACACCAAGCAGAACCAGCCGGCCAACATCAAGCAGAACCAGCCGGCCAACACCAAGCAGAACCAGCCGGCCAACATCAAGCAGGACCAGCCGGCCAACACCAAGCAGAACCAGCCGGCCAACATCAAGAAGAACCAGCCGGCCACACCAAGCAGAACCAGCCGGCCAACACCATGAAGAACCAGCCGGCCAACACCAAGCAGAACCAGCCGGCCAACACCAAGCAGAACCAGCCGGCCAACACCAAGCAGAACCAGCCGGCCAACACCAAGCAGAACCAGCCGGCCAACACCAAGCAGAACCAGCCGGCCAACACCAAGCAGGACCAGCCGGCCAACACCAAGCAGGACCAGCCGGCCAACACCAAGCAGGACCAGCCGGCCAACATCAAGCAGAACCACCCGGCCAACATCAAGCAGGACCAGCCGGCCAACATCAAGCAGGACCAGCCGGCCAACATCATGAAGACCAGCCGGCCAACACCAAGCAGGACCAGCCGGCCAACATCAAGCAGGACCAGCCGGCCAACATCAAGCAGGACCAGCCGGCCAACATCAAGCAGGACCAGCCGGCCAACATCA